ATCTCACCTACACTCGTATTGCTGTATGCAGAAATGTACAAAAACAGCGTTCATGGAAGACAGGTGTGAGGAGTGGTGGAACCATGACCAACGATAAGATTGTGTCACTAACTAGAGCTAACGCCACAACTTTGTACTGAACTATATGAGCCGAGACAAGCAAAAAGGTGGCTTATGCATAATTTTTGGAAATTTCATTTTTCATGCCAAAGTGATGTCTACTTATCCAACTAATTCCATCAAGGAAAGTTTGGTGCCCATCTGAAATGTATATGTGCTATAAATTTAGCATACATTGCGCACATGTCACAGCATGCCTGGTATCAATGAAAATAAGATCATAATTATGAACACCTGCCCAAACTCCAGAAAACATGGGACAGCAAGTTGAGACAAAGCTTAGCAGGTGTGGAAGCAATACAAGAAGAACGAGCACTTGTGTTCTGATTAGAAGATCCAAGAGAGAAGAAATAATTGATCTAGGTATCTCATGTCATTTCATCGCGCAAAACGTATTTTCATATCCTTCAATGATTTTGGGAGTCTGTGACTATATTTTCGCTGGACTGGGAAACGTCGCATCTTACCAAGACAGTCCATCATCCTCTCTCCAATCACCTACGCCAGCACGAATTAATCCTTTCTTGCAGCTCGTAGTGTTGTGCCAGAGATCGAGCTCCATTTGGTCCCTTTCACTTAGGTCCAGCAGATTGAAAAGCGGCACTGATTCTTTGTCCGTCCTAGTCAATGTCATTCTCCTTCCCTGGTGTAGGTAGTGGTACAAGGACAACGGGACAATATGCCAGCAGTTAGGGTCAATGCATCGCTTCGTCGTGTGGCACTATTGGCCTTGAAATGAGGAAAATTTGGAGTACAGTACTCCAGGTCGTGAACATTTGAAGGTATCCGAAACAAAGTGAAACATCGCAGCAAGATCCAACTCACTAGGGAGTTTGTCAGAGTGATAGTCGGACGGCTTGTAGACGTCTCCACATTATTATTATTTTTATTATTTATTCTTCTTTTACTAGGGAATTCCCAACAGGCGTCAGCGCCTTTTTACAGGGAACCCTAGTGGCGTGGCGAGAATGCCACGGAGTTCAGTCTACACGTTCATGTCATGTTCAGTTGCGATCTGCTTTCTCTTCCTGATTGCCATTGCGGTCATGCTGTCTGTTCTCTGTGATTTGACCTTTATCTGCTGGCATCTTACTGTCTTCATGTGCTCCCCTTGGGGGCACCTTGATGCCTGATGTAATATCGAATTTGTACAGCGGGCTACCATTTAGGTTCCGCTGCGGTCGTTTTCGCTGAGCCAGCCTTGGCACCGTGTAGCCTTTTTGGTTGTTGTGTTCTTGTGCGTGCGGCATGAGGTTTTTAGCTGTACCTTTGTTTGGCTGCGCTGCCTTTTGTTTTCCAGAGAGTTTTTCTTTGCACTTGTAGTTTTTAGAACGAAATAGTCGGTTCGTGACATGGCGTTCTACTTCTAATCAACCATAAAGTCTTTTGTGTTGTGAGTGACTCCGTCGGGTGTGAGCTTGGTATACGGCCCATTACGGGACTGCGTGCGGCAGAAGCCTAGCGAAACACCATTTGGTAGCAGAGGATGGTTTTATAGTTGATACACTTTTCGATCGAAGAAATTTAGTTACGAGGTTGGATTTCAAAAATAGTTCCAACCATGGAAGAAGAACGAGAGAAAAGTAGTGCATGCGGAGAATATAGTGCTGAGACTGAGACAGCGACGGCGGCATCGATGTCAGAGCCGACCGGAGAGGATGGCGCTGGTTCTGGTGAACCTACGGAAGGCATGGAGAGCCTGATCATGAAGCTGAAAAGTGATAAGATACAACTGAAACGCAATCTAACGAATACCCGACGTGGGTTGACGATAGGAATGCGCGACAATGAGGTCGACGCTGTGGGTGCAGGACACCTTTACGATGAGCTGCGCTGCTGTGAGCAAGCAGTAACAGCAGTGCTTTCCGAGCTGAAAAGAAAATATGAATTCGTAAACGATAAAAGGAACGTGATACGGACTTTGGAGGAAATGGAGGAAGTCGATCGCGATGTGCAGACGGCAATTGACAGATACGACGAGTTTGTAGAGTTGTGGACTGCAAGAGCGAAGCAGTATGGACAGGCTCAAGCAGCACAGAGCCAGTTTGAACGAGGGAAGTCGTTTCCTTTACTGGGTGTGGATGAATTCGGACTACGCCAAGGCAGTAGATCAACTAGTCGAGTCGGTTTACGACAAATGCAGAGTGAACTGAGTGCGCTGACAATGGAAACAGATCGCAGGACTGGACTGCTACTAGAAAGATCACCGTCACGGAGGACGCCAAGAGGCTTTAGTACTGATGACAGCAAGGACACAGCAGCTGAAGAGACCAACACCAGTCCAAAACGGGGTGAGCAAGGAGCTGATCAAACGGAGAATAGCCTTCCCCCTGCACACACCACTGAGTCTGTCACCAGCCTCCCCAGTTCAAGTCACAGTGTACAGTCTAGTATCACGTCTTGTACTACCACTGCACAGCATGTACCTGTCACAAGCTCAAGTGTGACTAGACCCATACCTAGTTCTGGACAAGCTGTACCTGTGAAGGACCATGTTTCTCTGGTCAAATCTAGTACCAGTCAGCCATCTAGCCTTGCTAGCATTCATGCCAGACTTGCAGGCCCAAGCAGTGGTCATGTAGGCAAGTCTGAGTTGAGTGTTGGATCTTTTCCAGGACATCCTGGACCTAGCCTCAACTTTCAGGCCCCTGCATTCCGGCCTGCAGCTCAACCAGTAAGCAGCAGAGCACCTGTGTACGGCACTGGGTTGCCCAGCAGTGATGTCTTTGGAAGGCTGAAAAAAGTAGCTGTTCCGACGTTCAGCGGAGATGTGCGGATGTACGAGACCTGGAAGGCCGCCTTTATGGCATGCATTGACGCTGCACCTGTCTCTCCACAACTTAAGCTTCTACAGCTTCGGCAGTATGTTACTGGTGAGGCACTTAGAGCAATAGAGCAGCTTGGCTACACCGCAGAGGCATACAGGATATCCCTGGAGCGGCTTGAAAGAAAATTCGGCGGACAACGACGTCAGGTGGCTATACAGCTGGAAACATTGGAAGCATTCCAGCCGATACAGCGCTACAACCCGCAAGCACTGGAGAAGTTTGCAGATTTGCTCGAGATTGCCGTAGTGAACCTCAAAGATGCAGGTCGCCACATGGAGCTACAGAACGGCACATTCTTCTCCCGTCTCCTGAGCAAGCTGACGAAGCAGATAGTGGCTCAGTACCCACGTTGGTTGTACGAGCACCAGCAAACCGAGGATGTGTTATCATTGTAGAAATGGGTGACACTGGAGGCTGAATTCCAGACTACGGCAACGGAGATAGTAGACGGTATCCAGAAGTCGGCATCATCCCGGCCAAGTAGCCATCGCTCGTTGCAGCAGCGCAACGCTCATACACACTTGGCAGACGGACAGACGGCACGAGACGAGGAGACTTCTTTCATATCCTCTCGTGCCACTTGTCCAGAATGCAGCGGGAGCCATGGCATTTGGGAATGCTCCACCTTCAAAGGACACGACACAGGCCAACGGTGGACAAGAGCAAAGGAGTTAAGCCTGTGCTATCGCTGCCTGGGAACAAGGCACAGAGGCGACAAGTGTCCTCGAACTCGCACTTGTGGTGTCGATGGTTGCCAACGGAATCATCATCGTCTACTACACGGCTTGGCACGATCAGATTTTGAGATCAGGAAGAAGCCCAGAGCCGATGGCAAGGAAAGGAGTTATGACAAAGCAAACACCAAGGCTGAACAAGGACACTGTGGCGTCGCAACAGCGCATGCGACTCCAACGGAAGGGGAGTCCCCCCAGCAATGCAGCAATGCAACAGCCGAGACGAGCTACACCAGTTTACGCACTGTGCCTGTCGTTCTCAGGTCCGGTAGTAAGCGGCTCGTCGTCAATGCGCTTCTGGACGACGGAAGTACCAACACCTTCATCCACGAAGACGTTGCCACAGCGCTAGGTATGAGTGGTGAGCAGCATGACATGACTATCAATATGCTGAATGGAAAGCGGAGCACTTTCAAATCCATGGAAGAGGAGTTCGATATCGCCAATATTAACGGTCAATCAAGGACAACCGTAGTCGGACTCACAACTCCCAACCAGGTAACAGGACGTCTGCAGCTAACGGACTGGAGTAGCAAGAAGATTGGCTATGAGCACTTGGCTGATATACCGTTTCCGGAACCGGCCACCCCTGAAAGGATCGAGCTGCTCATTGGCGTCGACAATGCCGAGCTTCATCGTGCGTTGTATGAAGTGTCTGGACCAGCCGGAGAGCCCATCGCGCGTCTCACACCTCTCGGATGGACCTGCGTCGGAGCAAGGGTTAGCCGTGGCGGGGGCACAAACCACTGCTGCAGCGCTATCATCGTCAGCAGCGAGACCCTCCTGAGTGTGGATAAGACTTTGCGACAGTTCTGGGAAATTGAGCAAGTGACCAGCCCAGAACACCCCATGTCACCGGAAAACCTGGACGTCCTGACAGCGACAAAGAAACGAATGACGTTCACCAATGGTCGCTACTGTGTCGGGATGCCATGGCGGGCAGATGCATCACGGCCCACCAACAATTACGACATGGCAGCGAAGAGACTTGCGCAAAACACAGAAGAGGCTGAAACGGGTCCCAGAAATTGCAGAGCGCTATGCAGAGACCATTGACAGTTACGTGGGAAAAGGGTACGTGGTGAAGGTGAATGCAAACCCACGTGAAGCAGGATCGTGGCTCCTTCCACACTTCCCGGTTGTCCGACTGGACAAAAGTACGACGAAAGTTCGCATTGTGTTCGACGGGTCAGCTAAGCATGATGGCACCGCCCTCAACGACCTGCTGCACACCGGTCCGAAGTTACAACGTGATCTATCGGCTGTTCTGCTCAGGTTTCGGCGGCATCCGATCTGCATTGGCTGTGATGTTACGGAGATGTATCTACAGGTTGAAGTCAGAAAATCAGATCGGCCATATCTGAGATTCCTGTGGAATACAGACTCGCAGTCGGCTCCAGACGTGTACGAATTCAACCGGGTGGTATTCGGTCTGAACTGCTCCCCGTTCTTAGCGCAACTGGTCGCGCGAGAGCACGCTAAGACACTAGATCCAGAATTCGCCCGTGCAGCCGAGATGATGCTCGAATCAACTTACATGGACGACGGTATGGACTCAGTCTCTACGATTTCCGAGGGTGTGGCCCTGTACAAGAGTGTGACAGCAGCATGGAAGGGAGCAGGCATGGCAGTGAGGAAGTGGCTGTCGAATGCTCCGGAGCTGTTGGGTCACATACCCAGAGAAGATCAGGCAACGCAACTCAGCCTGAACGGAGACGGCCCATCCCAGATTAAGACTCTAGGGATCAGTTGGTTGAGCGACAGCGTCATGTTCAGCTTTCAGGCTGTCATACCACCTGACGATATGATGATGACGAAGAGTAACATCCTCCGAAAGATCGCGACGATCTTCGACCCGCTAGGATTTCTGGCACCAGTGATCATCCGTGCCAAGATACTGATGCAAGAGATCTGGGCTAGCGGTGCAACTTGGGACAAAGTGCTTCCCGTCGAACTGAGCTCACGTTGTAGACAGTGGTTCCAGGATCTCCTTGCACTGAGCTCAATTCAAGTGCCACGCTGCTTGCAGGCCATTGAAGGCGCTACACCGCAAGATGTCGAGCTTCACGTATTTGAGCCGTCAGATGCAAAAAGGTACCTTATGACATTTTTGGCCAAATCGAGTTAACGATTGTTTCAGATACAACCTGGTCAGGAGAGTGTCGTGCAAAAAACCAGGTCCAAAAATCTCAATTCATCACCGAGTTACCCTGGAAACTATCCGGACTATCGATCACATATTCACAGAAAATACTTTTTCGAACGCGATTTTCTCAACTGCGAGCAAAACGTCATAAGGTACCTTTTTGCATCTGACGGCTCATTTGGCGACGCATCAGAGTTAGCGTATGGTGCCGTCCTCTACCAACGTATCCGCTACGCATCCGGCGAGATCAGCACCGTATTTGTGTCTGCTAAGTCACGAGTTTCGCCAACTACCGCCACAAGCATCCCACGGCTCGAATTGATGGCTGCTGTGATGGGAGTCGAAATGGCCAACGAAGTAGCCAAGGTGTTGCAGATCAACCCGCAGAACATCATCTACTGGGCTGATAGTATGGACGTGATCTGGTGGATCCGTGGCTGGAGTCGCTTGTTCAAGACGTTCGTTGCCAACAGAGTGAGCACGATTCACCAGGCAAGCAGCCCAGATCAATGGCGGTATGTTCCTACGGCAGAGAACCCGGCTGATATTGTGTCGAGAGGATGCGCGCCAACATCGCTCACGCCGGACAGTATGTGGTGGACCGGTCCTAGCTTCATGGCCAAGCCGTCTGATGACTGGCCAGTACGACAGTTACCTACAGCCCAAGCAAAGGAAACAAAGTCCATAAAGGAGACCGTTCTGATGAGCAGCATTGAGACGGGCACGTTATGTGTAAGTCGATCAACATTGGAAAACCGCACGCCCAGTGAAATGTACCAGACATCTATTTCGCATTTTATCCAGCGGCCAGCTGTCGAGAGATTCAAGTATCTATCGTATGAGCAGCCTAATGGGAGGAACCAGTGGAAGGAGAGATTATATGCACTTTACGATTTCCTTCCAAGAGCGTGTACTCATAACCCTTACGAGTTTCGCTTCGAACTCGTCTGTGAGCACTGCTGTGAATATTCCGAAATGCAGATCGACCTCCCATATGTCAGAAGGTTACTGCTTAGTGTGTTTGCCATTTCGCTAAAATCATCATTTGCGATGCATGGAAGATCACAATTTAATTTCCATATCTCGTTTCACATTTGTATGGATTGCTCACCACTCATAACTTCTGTTGTGGGTTACATCCTGAATATTTTGGCGGATTGTCACTCATTCTTGCCAACTAATTACAGCCCACATCACAAATGTTGCACTTTCCGTTTGCATTGTGATAGAAAGGAAATTTCTTCATGTTCCCTGAAGAATCTAATCGAAAATCATAATATGAATTTTTTATGTTAGCGCTTCCGCCAATGAGCTCATTCTTCAGATTCCTTTTCCACAAACCCCGGAATCGATCACTCTTTTCCCGGAATACCTTGTTTTTACAACCGGTGGAAAACGTCGTTCACGGATTTTTCCGAAGCCGTGAACGTGAGAATCAACGTGAGAACGAATTACTGAGCGATCTTTCAGACAATACTGAACGTATACATGCACGACTGCGGCCTTGCAGTTTCCTGAACATGTACATAATTATAATGTTTTCATTCAATCTGAGGATATTAATTTTCTTTCCTTAGATTTTCTTTCTCATTTTATTGAGTTCAATTGTCTTTGATTTGAGTGACCATCTGTCTTTGCGCGTGAAACGGATACATTGGAGTTAGAATTATAAAGACGTAAACAATTGGGAAAGTGTGAAAAGTGTGGATTGTAGGCGAATGTGATATTGCAGAAGGTGAAGTGTAAATAGTCGTCATCTCGGATTGGGGAAGAGGAGGAGGAAAGGGGTTGGGGTGTGAATTATGTTAGCAGTCGTTCACAATTGCGTGTCTACACCAGAGATTGGTTGAGATCTGTAGACTCTGATTACACAGTTGTTTCAATAATTATGAGAAGGCAACTTGAACGTCATGTATGTTCAAATGGTATGGGATACGGACTTTAGAGATCTAGCACAACCTCTAATAGCCTCTACAGACTACGGGCATGAAACCCCAGTACAAAATCACATAAAACCTAAAAGACAACATAGTTTCCACGCCATCGCACTTTACCACAGCGTTGGGACTCTGGCGATGGGATCCTGCAAAGGAAAAGAGCTGACTAATCATGACCAATGGCGGTAGATGAAAAAAGTGTTCGGTCATCTAAAATTCCTCATCAGGACCGCTACAAGTTAGTTGTAACTTGTAAGTATAGTTTTCTTTTCTCCCTACTCTATGCACTGGCTACATCTCTTGGTGTTGAGAATTTTTTTTTGTAAAGGGATCTGCTAGTCTAGAGTTTTGTTGTGTTGTATGATGGTCTATACATGTCAAGGAGGGAACTGTAGGGGAAATCACAGTAATGCTGACGCTCACTCATGCTAACTTCCAAAATCTCATCTACACGCACATGACTGTATGCAGAAACGTACAAAAACAGCGTTCATGGAAGAGAGGTGTGAGGAGTGGTGGAACCACGACCAGCGATGAGATTGTGTCACTAAACAGTGCTCACGCCACAAGTTGGTACTGAACTATTGTAAAATTGGAAATTCTAACGAGTCTCAAAGTCTAACATATAACTATGACGGGAACATGCATTTCATAACAACATGACAGGACAGTGGCAACAATAAAAGTGATCATGGCACAAGTTTTACATTTCCTAATGTTAACCTTCGGATAACGTCTTGATTTGCCCACCTTCAGCCCCAGGACGGGTTCAGTAGCCTAGTAGCAATACTGAATGATAGCCAGTTGAGGTAGGCCATCAGGCCTACAGGCAAATGAATCAGATTACCTGGAGACTTCCGCTCCAGCACAACGCTGGACACCTTCAAATCTGCAGCGCTGCCTTACACAGTCGATCACTGACTGCGCATGTCGTGTTCCTGCTCGATACCTGGAACCGAAGCTAATTGTCATGTTTGACAATGGATCCGTACTCTTGATCTCCAGCTGACTATCATTTCCAGTGCCTATACACTCATTTCACAGACACCTCTTCCCGTTGTTATCCCTTATCTCTCCACTCCCTTGTTTTCGGGAAGAGGTTCCAGTTTGAATTAGCGTAAAAGCAAAATAAAATTGATGTCATCATCAGCATATTTAGATGGCCTCTCCTATCCGACAGTTCGCGTACAACATTTACTTCAAGTATGGATGGTAATGTGAAGATAAGAAATGGTGTGGTGGATGGCCGTTTTAGTGTCTGGTACAATGCTTGCAATGGTTTGGTGTCATGTTGCCAATGTGAAACCTGTCTCAGCTTACCATCCAAGGCACCTTATGTCTTGTCCAAACTAGGCCAATATTTGTTGGCCAATGCTTCTATTGCCTCCGACATGAATTAGACTGATTGGGTTGGACTACCTACATATAATGATGCACACGCAAAGCATTCGGGGACGTGTTGGACAGGGCCATCTACATCAGGCAAATATCGCGCTGATTACGAGGGTTTTCGTGCGATTCCAAAATGTGCTGAAAAATTGGCCTAGTTTGAACTAGGCATACCAGTTGCGGTCCGCGAGCTAAGGTCGTCGTCTTATCCAGTATAATTTGGAATGAAAACTAAATCCCCTCGGTTGTGTTGTTAGTTCCGTTCCATTTTTATCACGATCGGCCTCCATTTCTCTTAGCTGAGCTGGTTTTCCAGGAAGAGCGAAACAGTTCTGCCCGCAGAGGGATAGTGTTAGTGTGTAGAATGTTCATTGTATGGAAAAAAATTCACGACTTGCGTGAGATTCGGCCAAAGGCCGAGTTACCCGCATCCGCAGGAACGCCAAAACCCTCTTGGGTCAAGGCGCTGATGCAAGCCCTAAGCCGTGGGAGTTGAGTAGAACAGACCCACGACAAACTGGTCAAAAAGCGAAATTCCATTCACTACATCCATTTTACCAGGCCTTGAGTTCCCAATTAACTGTGGGTCGCAGCACGGCTGGAAAAATCCTTCTGCTTCCAAACAGGATTTGACCAGGGTACCCGGTGTTTCTCAATCATGGTCTTAGACCATCCCAAATTGCCTGCCACTATGCATGCCTTTATGTGTGCATATTTGAATGGAAACATTGACAATAAATGGGAGTGCTCAGCGTAGCTCTTTTGAAACAAGACTAAGGCGCAGCTTTGTCACAAACAAGAAACACTGTCCCATACCATCACGTGATTCGTCCTAAACATAATACACGGTGGAACATATCCCGAGAAAGAAACACTCCCTGAAAGGTGGTAAGCTGGTACATATCTCAGCAGCGATATGATGTGCTGCAATTCTCAGATAGAGCTAGGTAGTGTCTTCGCATGGACGGTGATTCCAGCGTTGCACCCTGCACCGATTTCACTGCCCAGTTTTCATAGGTCAAAGGCTGTACATCGTACGTCGTGAACCTACATGAACCTGTCCTCTACATTCGGCTGGATACATCATCCGCGAGTTTTGTGATAATTTTACACTGCTAGCTCTGAAACAAAACCCGTCGCGCTCACGCACAAAGTTCTTCAGACTACTTGCCAACAGCGTATTCAAAATGTCTGATCATTATTATTATATCTTGTACGACTGAGTTGCGACAATGTAGTTTAGTGCCTTGTTGACCTGGGAAACTACACTGTTGTAGTGTGAGCAGATTATGGCCGGAGCTTTGCACTTGGGGTCAATTTTTCACCCAGCGAAACCGCTTTTTCCCGAGCCATTGGTTGTTAACATACAACCAAGAGTACGTATATGTAAGGTTGTACTAAGACATGCCTAGCTTCGCCGAAAACAGCTTCTAATTCTTACAAGAGTAAACTCAGAGCTGCTAAATATCACCCTAGATTTCACCTATAAGTTCTTGGTACCGTGAGAATAATGATCAGTTTTCATCTGAATAGTTGAAGGAGCAGCTTTTGAATAGGCTCAGAAAAGGCGAATATTGACATAGAGATTGAGACTCTCATTAATCAAGACAGCTAAGCTGCCAGTGTCTGACCAAGAATCAGTATGGTAAATGTCAA